GCTGCTCAACAGTCCATAGTCATTGTTGTCTGATTCTCCTTTTCATGATGGGCCATATATTTTCAATAGGAGACAGATCTGCTCACATCGAGTCACATCCACATGTGTCTACGGAACCACGCTGTTGTAGCACATGCAGAATGAGACCCGGTATTGTCTTGATCCAATAACCATGGACTTCCCATGAAAGATGTCATCTTGATGGCAGTATACAGTGGGTACGGAAAGTATTCAGACCCCCTTAAATTTTTCACTCTTTGTTATATTGCAGCCATTTGTTTTATTTCTTATTTGTTTATGTATATGCTTTATTTTTTAAGAGTAACTGTTTTTTTCCAAGGCATTGTTAGATTCCAGTGTTTCCTGTCATAGCTATGCAAAGATTTGATTTTGATTTAAAAAAACAGTATCATAGCAATTAATCATTTCTTGTTATGATTTTAAATCTGTATTTAAGCTCAGAATGATCTCAAAGTAAGTCTGATTTTGTGATGGCTGTGTTTTAACCTCCTGAGACCTTCTGTCCTCAGTAGAGGACATTATATTTTAGTGAATTTCTCTGAGAACTTACATGTCACAATTTTAAGTCTGGATGTTCTGTACAGAGCACATTCAGGACTTTTCAGAGATACCAAATGTTTGGATGTTTCACCGTGACCACTCCCTCTCCTTGGTCTTTAAAAATTGCTGACATTAATTTAGTGATCAAATTTAACACTCTTAAATATATTTACAATATTTTGTAATTATCATTTAAATCTTACTAATTTTTTAACTGTTTGTCATAAATCAACATCTCAGGAAAATGTTATGGGGTTTCAAATCAAAATATGACTTTCTGTTACAAAACAGGACATTGATTTCATACATGTCCACTGTAGAGGACACATTAGGAGTGAAAGCATGTTTATTACGCATTTTGGGAGACACAACAAATCAATAGGGAAAGAAATTGTATTTCAATATTCCTATGAAATATTAGATATTATGAAATATGATATTATGAAAATCTTGCCAATTATTACTCCCATTATTACACTTCTCTTTTCATTACAAAAAATGTTTTGTCCCAAAAAACACATTAATATGCAAATTAGATACTGTATATAGATACATTGTATATAATGGGAAAACCCTCTTATGGCCATTTTACACACATACTGCATAAAGCAAAATGGTATATCAAATCATCCTGTTATATCTTTCATAACATAGTTGAGAATCATCTTTATACAAAGTTTGGTATAAAAATTTATGGCCATTTTACACACATTTTGCAGAAAGAAAAATAGTATACTGAATCATTCTGTTATAACATAGTTGAGAATCTTTATACATAGTTTGATAAAAAAAAATCTTGAAAACTAAAAATGTATTGGTGATTTAAAAAAATCAATTGTTTTTGCCTATTCATGTTCATTCATGTCTTTTTATTTATTTATTTATTTTTAATTGAGTCCTGGTGTCCTCTGCAGAGGACATAGCATAACATATGAATAAAACATAATATTGTTATTTTTTTCTTATGCTCTAAACAATGGGTTCAGGAGGTTACAATTAAATTATTATAATATTAATTCAAGTATTTTGAAAGTCTGACAGTAATTACAACCCCAATTCCAGAAAAGTTGGGACACTTTGTGAAATGCCATAAAATCAAGAATATGTTATTTGTTCATTCTCTTTAACCTTTATTTACTTGTCTAAAGTAAAAGAAAAAAATTCCAATGTTTTCACTGGCCAACTTAATTTTAATTTGTGAATATGAACAAATTTTGATTTTGATGGCTGCAACACGCTTCAAAAAAGTTGGGACAGAGGCATGTTTAACACTGTGTCACATCAACTTTCCTTTTAATTACAGTGTTTAATTTTGCAAGCAAAATCTTGCTTGATACAAGACTTCAGATGCTCGGAAGTCTGTGATCGTCATTGTCTGATTCTCCTTTTCATGACTGGTCATACATTCTTGTCTAAAGTAAAAGAAAAAAATTCCAATGTTTTCACTGGCCAACTTAATTTTAATTTGTGAATATGAACAAATTTTGATTTTGATGGCTGCAACACGCTTCAAAAAAGTTGGGACAGAGGCATGTTTAACACTGTGTCACATCAACTTTCCTTTTAATTACAGTGTTTAATTTTGTTATATGTCTCTGTACAAGTTCAATATATGCCTCCATGTCAATGGTACCTTCGCACATATTCCAGTCACCCATACCGTTTGCTCTGCTGCACCCTCATACTATGACAGATGTTTGCTTTCGCATCTGTCACTGATGAAAGTCTGGATGGTCCCTTTCGTATTTGGGATTCAGAACTCGACATCCATTTTTCTCTGAAACCAGGTGAAATGTGGACTCATCCGACAACAGCACACATTACTTTTTGACTATCTGAGATGAGCTCTGGCCCAGAGAACCCAGCGGCATCACTGCATAGAATTGATGTATAGCTTTCTCCTTGTGTAACTGAGATAGAGTTTGTTGCAGCCATCAAAATCAAAATCGGTTTATATTTACAAAATGCATTTAAGTTGGTCAGTGAAAAGTTTGGAAATCTTTTCCAAATTAAGTAAAATTTAAAGAGAATGAACTAGGGGTCGACCGATATGTGTTTTTCAAGGCCGATGCCGATACTGATTATTACAGATCAAGTAGACCGATAACCGATATTTTGAACCAATATATATGTCTGGTGCAAAAAC